AAAAATTCAAAATGACATGAGAAAATTCTTTGAACTTCATGTCAAATTTGTTCTATATCTACCATATGCATTTTTTTTTTAATTTTCTTTCTTTAATAGTAGCATCTATCCACATTTTATTGTTGTCCAAACTTGAGGATTACCTCGGACCCACTTAAAAAGTGATTAAAGAGCATAATTATTAGATCTCTAAATCACAGATGGAGGTTGGACCATGGAACCCATCCAGTGGAGAAAAACTTTGGTGGAATGGTGGCACTGTCCTATATGGTGCGACTGTCGAATGGGAGTCACCCCTCATCGGATGGTCCACTCTCGCCCTAGACTTCGGGACTTGAGGTGAAAAGAGAGAAAAAATCAAATCTCGATTTGGCTTAATCTCATTGGGTAGGGTGGGCCACCCAATGATGTGGTGGCTCCTTATTCGATGGTCGCACCACATAGGACGGTGCGACCGCTCCGTCGAAATTTTTCTCCATCCAGTGAGTTCGGCTATAAGATCGTCGTTATATGAAAACATTATCATGATCAACAAAAAGAATATCTGTTAGTGATGTCACACCTCCTCAATGACCAATCTGAAGTGAACAAGTCACTTTTGATGTCATCACCGTTACATCAATCAATTAGAAGAAAGTTTCGAATCCTGAAATATGGATTTGGCTTTTGGGTAAGTGTAAGTGTACAAGCAGTTTTCCACCCTGTACCCTTGGAGGCATAACCTGCGATTTGCCTCCCTCACAATGCTCCAGGGCAGGGGTGGTGAGGGACCCTTAAGGTTAGGGTTTAACCTTTTATTAGAAGAAAGTAATGATTGTTTAGGTAGCAGAAAATTATTACTCAGCCATAGGCTACGAAAAAGGTGAAATAATGGTATGATTAGTAGAACTTAATATCCAATCAAATATCTTTAAATAGAGCAATAATATACTAATCAAGGTCATGTATTGGAGCTTGACAAGACAGAGAGCAGCAAACTATTGTGACACTGCTTATAAATAGGGACGATGATCCCCTACAAGGGACGTGGTTATGCAATTCTATGTAATACAGTACAAAAGTATAGTTTGACCCAAAATTATCTCAATATATCTCTAATTTAAAAGAGTTCACCTCCAAAAATCACGCTGCTTATACTAGTTTGAATATCGTGGAAAAATATGTGGTCGTGCAGGACAATTCTCCAGCAGTTTTCAAGAATTTCCCTTGAGAACATCAAAAGGTGTACATTCGTGACTGGTCTTACCAAGAAAATGGAAGAGACACACCATTCCAAATGGCTGGTCAGGAAGAAGAAGGTTGAGCTGAGGAACTAACCAAAACTGAATCCAAGAGCGGCAATAACACCTGATAGCTAAGATAGAGGTCAAGCGGGAAACATCCACCAGGCTAATCAACAGAATTATGGGGGTTATTATTCAAATCATTTTTTTTTTTTTTTGGAGGAATCAAATGAGTGGACTGTTCTGTTATGTTATGAAACATCTTGAAAATGAGTGTATGGATTTTCAACTGGATTGTGCCAAACAAGCTATAACTGTGGAGATACTGGTGCCATGCGTTGGAAATTGGCACATGAAAGCTTATGCTAATGCTAACAAGATTGATAGAGCTGGAGCAGAAGAAAGGAAGAGGAAAGGACTGCCGACTGAATATTACCGTGAGACCTTGTATAGTCCAGAGAGAGCGGCTTTCTTTATCATTCCTTTCAATGAGATTGGTCTTGGATCTGGATCTGTCATTCTTGAAATTTAAAGGAAACTAATAATAAGAAGGAACTTGTCAAGGTGAATGCATCTAAGCTCATTTTTGTATACCAAGGTACAGGATATTGTCTTGATGACTTCATCTACGTTAGCCCAACTCACGTTTCGACAGAAAGGGTGGAGGGAGGAAGGTTTAAAAGTAAGAAAAATGGAGGACTGGAAGCTTCATCATATGTCAACTGCTTGAGATCATTGTTTCCAAGGAACGTAAAATAACCGAAATCGGTGTTCCGTAGATTAAAGTCAAGAGGTATATTAGACTTGAAGACATTTCTCCAGAGAAGGAATACTCCAAAAGAGGTAAATTCTACTCTACGAAGCAGAGACAGTCCTATTGAGGTGGCAGGTCCGATTTATCAAATAATAACACTCCTCAACACTTTGGCTTAGGTGTTTACACGCTTTGCGACATCTCTTTTTTATTTTTGATATAGTATTTTAAATTGTTGAACATTCATGGGCACTTTCAAGACACTTCTCGCACGTGACTGACACGACTCATACACATATCTGATTTGACACAACTCTTGCACATTAATAATTTTATAAATTTGTGAAAAAAATAGGTAACTATCTAATTATGTAAATATGTCCGATCATGTTATATGTACAACTGAGGTTAGCAACTATACACATGAGAGAAAGGCTCACGATGAATAAATAAATCGTGAACCCTCCTCTTGTGAAGAGATTGTTAAGCCTTGTTGTACAACTAACAAAATTCAAATACACGTGTAAGAATTCAAAATAATGTGAAAATTTTCTACGAACTTCATGTCAACTTGATTATATATCTACTAAATGCATTTTGAATTAAGCTATTTTGCTAGAATTTGGTGCCCATCCTTTCGTTGAAAGTAATGTTGAGACGGGTTTTCATTAGTGCAAAAATTGTTGTGTTTTTCAAATGGACAAATGATAGAATGTCATGTCGTATTTTGTTCAAGAATGTGTCAAAATTCAGGCATTTTTTGGGGAGAACGTAAATAGATACCATGTCTATGTACTGGCCTTTTTTAAGATTTTGCTTCAACTTTCCTTTTTTTCTCTTTCTTTTTTTTTTTTTTCTTTTTTGCAGTGCAAAATTTTAGGTTTAATATTTAAATATTACTTTCAGTATGTAAATAAAATGAGTTCATTCATCAAGTTGATATTTTGCACCTCGACCAGTAGTATTGCTATAATAAAATGAGCATCAAGTGTATATCAACCTTTTGAAATAAAATAATATCCATGTTTAAAATTGGTTATAGTTACCAAAATTAATATATATAAAATTTCTCATCTTTATTATAATTTATACAAGAATTTTACGTGCACCGCCAGAAAATACAAACAAAATATTACTTTAATGTTTTAATTTTTTCTTTCTTCTGACAGATAATTTCTTTCTTTCTATATCATGGTTGGTGTACATCAAATTTTACATTTTGCCACGTGACAAAACGTTATTGAAAAGTTTAAAAAACATCATAGTTTTTTGGTCCAATCATTTGTTGACAAGTTGGATAATGTTAACAATTATGTATACAAAAGGCGTACAAATTGCATTTCCCACACATTTATGTTTATATTTGTAGTTAAATACAACAGCTAATGATTTGTTTTTATTTCTTTCATCTGAAAATATTTGGAAAACTTATTGGCACCATCACAAAATCTAAATTCTAATTAGGAGTATTCAAAGAAAAACCTATAAAATGACCGTCTCATTTGGTTTGTAGACAATTTCTTGATTCAATGGAGAACTTTTTGAGATGTTTTCATGGTTTTCAGCAAATGAACTGTTGGTGGACGACTTATTCATAAAAAATCAGTTCAAAAGTATGCAATCCGTGGATTGAATTTCCGATCCAATATTTGTTTTGAAACTATTGTTTACCATATTTATGACAAGTGACCGAAGTGTTCTAAAGAGTTGGACATGATATTAAAGTAAAGGTTCTGAATTCAATTCTTGCAACTAACTATTTAAATTGAACTCCGAACGCATATACATGCCACCTAAAAAAATTTAAATTTAATTTTTAAAACTCTTGACACTTACACGATACTTCTTAGACATGCCTCATGCACTTGCACGTACACGTGTGTGCCGTGTCTAGTGTAGGTTACAATTTTAAGGATTTTTTTGTTCTTTTCATTCCCAACCTTACGAAAATGTTTAAATCCACCCTCAACCCTTTTTTAACAGTAGACATTCCAACCTTTTACTCAATTGCAAATCACGTTATAATATTTAAATGAAATACATTCGGTATAATCTAACAACTTAATCATGCCGGTGTAAAAAACATTACATGGGCAGCAATTGCTGCAAGTGCAGCTCAGGTTGCGGTAGTGAAGAAGTTCTTCATCATTGATTGGTGCAGCTTAGGTTGCGGTAGCGAAGAAGTTCTTAATCATTGATTGGGATGTAGAACATGGAAATGGCACCCAAGAAATATCTGAGAAATCCCTTCATAAACATGACTGGTGGCACTGGAGTTGCTGATGAGGTTGATACCATGGGCGCAGAAGCAAGGCCGATCCTGTGATCTTCAGGGCCCAAGACGAGTTTCGTAAAATAGGCCTCCCAAAACCATCGTAGATTCAAATTCAATAGTGTATTACACAACCTATTTTTAACTTAAAACTAACCAATAAAACAACTTTTTTACTTGATTGTTAAAAAGACACATAACTTTTACATTTTTCACTTTTTGAATGTTAATAGTTTAATGTTAATCAGAAAATAAATAAACATGCCCTATAAGAGCAATACAAGGATTTCATTACATTGACCAGCAAATAGCAAGAAAAGGACACTTAAAATAATAATTTGCAAAAAAAGAAAAAAAGAAAAAAGAAAAAGAAGTCATTCTTCAAAAAAGCCGATATAAAACATGACCAAAAACATCTTCAAGAAAAATTAATTAGCAGAAATAAAATGAGGAAATTTCTTATTTCATTCATCTACCATATAGATGCAGTGAAGCTAATTCACCAACACAATTTACATCATTAGAGCAGATAAGAACTTAGACATAACATACCCATAATCCACAAACTCATTTGTCGAAAAAATGGGGTAGGGCGGAGACAGCGGCAGTATGGTGGAGGACGACGAGGCATCGGCAGCTCACATACTTGGCTGGAGAGCTGCTCACCCACAATTTCAGATTTGGAAGCCAAATAGCCAACAGGGTTTGCAATTGCCGATTTGGGAGAAGTGAGAACGGGAGAGAAGGGTTGCCAACATTTTAACTTATTATCAATTCATAATATAATGGGCCTAATTAAAAAAAGTCCAAAATAAAAGGCCCACAATTTTAAAAAAAATGGCCCAAGTAACACACCATTTTCCTCTCTCCAACTCCAAGCTTCCTGCTACAACAATGGCGACTGCAAGTTTGCAATTAAAGGGCCAACAAAATGAGGCCCCCTATGGTTTTTGGCCTGAGGGGCAGGCCTCATCTGCCTTGCCTCAGGATCGGCTCTGAATCCACAAACTCATTTGTCGAAAAAATGGGGTAGGGCGGAGACAGTAGCAGTCTGGTGGAGGACGACGATGCACCGGCGGCTCACATACTTGGCTGGAGAGCTGCTCATCCACAATTTCAGATTTGGAAGCCAAATAGCCAACAGGGTTGCAATTGCCGATTTGGGAGAAGTAAGAACGGGAGAAAAGGGTTGCCAACATTTTAACTTATCATCAATTCATAATATAATGGGCCTAATTAAAAAAAATCCAAAATAAAAGGCCCACAATCTTAAAAAAAAAAATGGCCCAAGTAACACACCATTTTCCTCTCTCCAGCTCCAAGCTTCCTGCTACAACAATGGCGACTGCAAGCTTGCAATTAAAGGGCCAACGAAATGAGGCCCCCTATGGTTACGTTAACAACTAGAAGAGAGAAAAATGCTTAAAATAGTTGCAAGACAAATTTGACATGAACTTCATCATTTTTTTTTTACATAAATATTCTAATAACTAAATAGTTCCTTAATTTTTTCCAAATACTTATAAAATGGGATTTTGCCATGCCCTTAATATATCAGTGACGGGTACCTCTCGCGTCAAAATTATTGCGTGAACAAGGCGTGTCAAACAGGTGTGCAGGGCATGTTAGACATGTGTGTGAGGCGTGTCACAAAATTAAATGAAAGATTATTCTTCTCAGGAATGACGAGACCGAGACTTGACCATAGCACCTGGAGTAAAGCTCAATCTGTTGTTTCTGGAGTTTGAAGTTACTCTTTCGAAAACAATCCGACAGAATCACCCGAATGTAAGAATTTGATCAACAGGATCCAAAATTGTAATTCGAGCCCACTGACTTCACGATATTTCCTTAAAACGAATTTGCTATCTTCAATGGTGCTAAAGGCGTCTAGCAATCGTTTTCCAGGATAGAACGAATTTTCGTCTCCTACGGAAGTAGCACTACAATCTGCAGGAGCTCCAACGAACTCAACGAAGTGTGTTTTACTTCGAGACAATATCAGAACGAGAGAGAGGGAAATGAGATTCAAAGTACAGAAAGTTTGCAATGAAAATTGTGTAAATTTTCTGATAGAGAGGTAGGCTATTTATAGATTTGTTCGTGGCCATTCGAACAGTCATCACCTTTTAGACAAGCCTCAAAAATCCGAACAGACATGCTATTCTTAAAAGTCGTGTCTGTTAAGTTAGTTAACAGTCGGCTAACAGTCAACTGTTTGGTCGGTAAACAGACGACTGTTAAAAGAAAATAAAACACCCGGAATAATAAGCCAAAATTTAAATTTCATAATGTACCCAATAATTTGATTATTTACAATTTGGCCTAAAATTTTAAATAAATTTTGTCCAAAAAATTAATATAGTGCAAAGGTCCACCCGCACCGCATCACACTGGACTCGAACACGGGCACGTGCTCGTGCCGTGCCGAGCCGGCCGATCGGTCGGACGGATGGCGGCGGCGACGCGCGCGTGTGGGTTTATGACCGAACCCAATAGGATATAGGTCTTCCCCTTTCCAAAGACTATTGGTACCCCTTGGGGCCCAAATCCAATTCCAAACTTCCACCTTATAAACCACACCAAAGTTTCCTAATTTTCCTATGTGGGATAAGTGTTTGAAAAATTAAATTCTTCCATAATACTTAGTTTATGTGGGTTATTTTAACACTTAATATTTCATTCAATTTTAAATGGTGTTCGATAAATAAATATATCACGTTAATCATCTCGCGGAGTAGAACGTGAATATGCTAGGTCCGGTATTAATTAAAAGGTGGGTCCCTCTGAAATTTGGGCTTAAAGTTGACCCATTTCATAACCATTTTTTCCAACAATCCCCCACATGAATGAAATATGTTGGCCTTATTCCAAACGATAACATCTGATATGTTTTTTCAAAGAAAAAATTGAAGAAGACTGCATCGGGATAAGTAGTCAATGATTTTGAACTTTCCCTAGTAAAATCTATTGGATTTCCTTAGCCAATCAGTAGCAAGT